CTTTCCCTTTCCAGGAAACTGCTCAGCGAGCTGTTGACACTCGCTGTCTCCAATTCCTCTGCCATTCCCTCTCCAAGGCTGTCTGGCTTTCGCCCCCTGCGTGCCACCCAGGGGCTCTGGACAACTCTGCCCTCCAGCTGCTGACCCTGTCCTCCCTCTACCCAAGGCTGGCAGCCCCGTCCTCGCGCCGCCCTGTGCGCCGCCCTCTGCACGCTCTGGACCCGGCGGATCATGCCTTCCGCAGCACCTTCATCACGGCCTCACCTGGGCTTCCTGCCCCGCCTCCACGGCTAGACCCCCTCACCTCCCCAGGGAAGGCCGGGGTTCCGTCCTGAGCCCTTTCCCTTTTCCACCAGCGCGTCCTCCTTGATGGCCCGTTGGTCTCCTGGCCTTAAATGTCAGGACCCCCAAGCACACGTCTTCCACCCGCCTCTCCTGCACGGCCCGGGCCACCGGTTCTCAGAACCAAGTCTAAAAGCAGCTTGAGCCCAGCGTGTCAGCACGGAGCGTCCCGGTGACCCGCGCCTCCCCAGTCTTACCCGCCAGGAAGTGGCAGCCTCACAGCACAGGCCACACATCCGAGTCCCTTGGACTCCCCTCCTTCTGTGCCCCATTACTCCGAAGAGCAGGGGGCCACCGTTCCCACCATGACTGCATGACCCTGGTCCCTGTCATCACTGCCTCTGGATTATTGCAAACAGCCCCCTCCTGAGTCCCTGCGTGGCCCCTGCAGTCTCTCCTCAATACATAAAAGAGCGACCCTTTCAGACAGAGGCCAACGGGGTCCCCCACGGTCCCCTCCAGCCTCACACAGAGACAGAGCCAAAGCCCCTGCAGTGAAGGAGGCCCCCTTGACCCAGCCCTGCTCCCTGGTGATAATGACGGCACCTCTGCCCACTCCTCCCCGCCCGATGTATCCCCCGCTTCCTGATCTCAGGGCCGAGCTGCCCCTGCCAGGGCTGCCTGCACCTCCCCCTCATTCCTCCTGGGTGTGCTCAGATCTCACCATCTTGGAGACACCCCAGCACACACACTTATTTAAATTGCAGCTTCCCTGGGGATCACTTCCTGTCCTCTTTTCCTGCTTCATTTTCCTCCTTATCACATTTCTCTCTGTGTGTATTTTATTTAACTGTCCTGTTTATGTCTACCTTCCCCATTAGGCTGTAACAGAATGTCCACTCCATAAAAACAGAGCAGGTATTGTGTCTGTTTTGCCCACCCTGCATCCCCAGGGCCCAGATCGGGGCTGGACACAAAACCTCCCTCTGCCAGGGAGTGAACAGCTCAGAATGTCAGCCCCACAGCAGTGTCGCCAGCCTCCCCCTGCCCAACCCCACAGGATGGAGCCATCGGGTAGCACATGTGGAAAAGTACCATGCAGCTCAGGGTGGGTGCCCTGACGAGCAAAGTTCGGGGTGTGCTGACCTCCTGAGTCACACAGAACCATCCACAGTGAGGGCTGTGAGGTGGGCCCGCTCTCACGGATGAGGAGAGAACTGACAAACGCAGTGGACGGTCCAACAACCACTTCCAAAGAGAAAGTCTCCAAAGACACAGCGTTCAGGAGGCCCTCGGGCTTTTGCAAGGCCAACCATCCCCCTGACCAGGATGCAGACGTCACACAGGAAGTGAGGGACACGCACCGAGCCCAGTGGGGAGGGGCCGGGACTGTGGCCCTATAGCACAGGCCATGTGGCTGGCAAGTCGCTTCAACTCTCTGCACCTCTGTCTTCTCATCTGTAAAAGGGGGATAGTAATGGTGTTTTTCTCATGATTGTGAACATTAAATATATTAAATACATTCACACGTCTATAGTTCAGAACAGTGCCTGGCACTTAGTAAACGCTATAGAAATGTTTGCTATTAATATTGTCAAGCATATGAAATTATGCCCCCAAACTAACAATAGATTCCTTCATCTCTCTAAGAGGTAGTTTATAGTTGCATATCAGGTAATTTTTTTAAATTATAGGACAAAATGAACTTCACATGTGTGAATATTTACACATTTTCACAATTTTATTTCATTGTTTTTTAAATAAATTTACTTATTTTATTTATTTATTTTTGGCTGCATTGGGTCTTCATTGCTGCGCCTGGGCTTTCTCTAGTTGCAGCGAGCGGGGGCTACTCTTCGTTGTGGTGCGTAGGCTTCTCATTGCGGTGACTTCTCTTGTTGCGGAGCACGGGCTCTAGGCACGCGGGCTTTAGTAGTTGTGGCGCTCAGGCTCTAGAGGGCAGGCTCAGTAGCTGTGGCACACAGGCTTAGTTGCTCTGTGGCATGTGGGATCTTCCCAGACCAGAGCTTGAACCCGTGTCCCCTGCATTGGCAGACGGATTCTTAACCACTGTGCCACCAGGGATGCCCTATTAAATTTTTAAAGAAGGTTCCAGCCAAGCCCCCTTTTTCCACTATTGACTGTGACATATGGTTTCCCTCTCAGTGGATTCAAAGTGACTTTATCCAGGTCCAGTAGGGACTGACGGGGGAAGTGTGCTCTCCAGAGAGGGCAGAGCCAGGGCTGGGGCAGTGAAGAGGCCCATTACCAGATGTCCACAAAGGAGCGCTGAAGGTGGGCTCCAGGGGGGCCATCCACTGCTTCATCCATGAATTCATCCAGCCATGTTTGTGTGCATCCGCCAGGGCTTGGAATCCAGCGGGCCTTGGGGGAGGGTAGAAGGGTGGATGATAGGCTTCTGGGTCCAGACAAGACAGAGAACAAGGAGGGGCTGCCCTTACCCCCACCAGCAGCAACCTTGGAGGCCCCTCAGGAGAGGGAGGGACACAAAACTGCAAAGTCCTGGGGAGACCCCAGGCTGGTGGGAACACTGGGGGTGGTGATGGGGGAGCTGGGACTGTGGGGGTGGGGGGACCACCACCAGGGCAGGAGGCAGAGGAGAGCTGGGAAATTCTGTTGCTGTCTCTGCCTGTTCTCCCAGATAGAGACCAGCAGCCCATCCCACAGCCTCTTATCGGGGAGGGTCTGCTTGGGGTGGCCCAGTCCTGCCAGGTGAGGAGCTGATGGAAGTGGCCCTGCCAGATCGGCTTCCCTCCAACACCCTCTCCTTGCCTCCCCTTCTGCTCCCCAGGGCTGGTGGGCTGCAACCTGGAAAGCCAACCTCCTCCTGGGGCCACTGACATCTGTGAGTTTAAGGAAAATTCTGGTGGAGCAACAGCAAAGAGGGTGCTTGGCAGTAATTCTGTGGTCTCAGGGATCATCCCTCTCTCCCGACAGCCCCTCCAGGAGGGGCACAGAAACCCAGGTCAGGCCTGGGCTTCACCTAGTCCCCCATTACCTGTCCCAAACAGGGTGACAACAGCCCCAGGAGGACAGGAGTCCACGAGCCAAGGGCAAACAGAAGACCCAGGAATACAGCATCTCATATGGAGACTATGCCCTGGACCACAGCCATCTCAGGAAGCAGAATTTTCAGGCAGATCCAGAATTCTTTTTTATATAAATTTATTTTATTTTATTTTTGGCTGCATTGGGTCTTCATTGCTGCACACCTGCTTTCTCTGTTTGCAGTGAGCGGGGGCTACTCTTCGTTGTGGTGTTCAGGCTTCTCATTGCGGTGGCTTCTCTTGTTGTGGAGCACGGGCTCTGGAGCACAGGCTCAGTAGTTGTGGCTCGTGGGCTCTAGAGCACAGGCTCAGTAGTTGTGGTGCACGGGCTTAGTTGCTCCGTGGCATGTTGGATCTTCCCAGACCAGGGCTCGAACCCGTGTCCCCTGCGTTGGCAGGGGGATTCTTAACCACTGTGCCACCAGGGAAGTCCCCAGATCCAGAATTTAAAATAATTACTATAAATATTCTCAGGCAAGGGAGTATATCAATAATAAAACAGAAACAAGGAGTCATAAAAAGAACCAAAGGGTGGAAACTATAACCACGGAAAGAAGAGTAATGGTAGATGGGACCTGCACACAGATGGTTTTGGTTGGATTGGGTGCAGTGGGGAGGGGATGGTCTGGGGCTGGGGGATGAGCCAACTGTGAGGGGTGTGCCTGGGACTCCAGGCCCCTGTTAGAAGCAAAGGCCTACATGCACACAGAACAGGAATGAATCATGGTGATGGTGCTGAGTGGAAATAAGAAAACAAGCAAGGCCAACAGAGTAATATTAATCATGTAAATTAAAAATACGAAACTGTGTGTCAACAGATGAGTGGATAACAAAATGTGGTCTCCTCAGCCCTAAAAAGGAAGGAAACTCTGACACCTGCTACAATGTGGATGAACCCTCAGACATTGTGTTCAGTGAAATAAGCGGGTCACAAAAGAACAAATATTGTGTGACTCCACTCATGTGAGGTCCCCAGAGGAGTCAGATTCCTAAAGACAGAAAGCAGATAGTGGGTGCCAGGAGCTGGAGGACGGGTGAGTAGGGAATTAGTGTTAATGGGCACATGGTGTCATTTGGGGAGGATGAAAAGAGCTCTGTGGACGGATGGTGGTGATGATTGCACAACCATGTGAATGTACTTAATGCCACTGAACTGTCCACTTAAAAATAGTTAAAATGGTAAATTTTATGTTAGGTATATTTTACCACAATAAAAAAAAAATCTAATGAAGGTAATGAAAACAACACTGTGTTATATACACGGACAGGACAGATACCAATAAAAGGACACACATTCAGTCTACTAGGATAAACAGACAAATGAGCCAAAGGGCTGCGGTGTGGGGCAGACGGTGACCTCTGCACGGTCCACAGAATGGCACCCACATCCTGGCCAAGGAAGGAGTGGCTGGCAGGTCAAGAGACGGGATTATCTCAGGAACCGCTTTTCTGAGGGCAGGGGCTTCCCCACGCCGGCAGAGCCACCAGCCCTTCCAAACTCCAGTTCCCAAAGCACTGTCCCAGGGTCCCCTTCTCTGCTCGGCTGCATCTGAAACCCGTCCCCGCCTTGCTGGCCACCCGGCCACCCCTCCCCCCACACCCACGGCCATGGCCAGCTTATGCCTCTGCTGGGTGCGGGGGCCCACAGCCAGGCTCGTGTGTGTAGTAGGTGCTCAGTGCGTTTCTGTTGGGTGAGAGTGAATGATGGGGAGGGAAAACGGGGTGAGCTCTCTTGGCCTGGAAAAATGACAGGATGCTTCCATTCAAGGAGCGTGGTGGGATAAACCTCACTCCCAAACTCAGGAGCGTGAGAATGGCCACTCTGCTCCCCGAGGCCCAATGGGGACAGAGTTGCCCTGGGTAACGTGACCGTGCTTAGTCACTCAGCTAAGCCTGAGGACCACTGCTTCCCAGCCGGGCAGCCTGACCTTTGACCCTGACTCGGCCTTCGGAGCCGTGTGTATACA